CCTTGATATCTACCAAACCAACAAAAACAGGAGTTGGAAAAATTGCAAGTGTTGTCAGATGTGTGGAATTACAATCTTGTACCCATTTCACCAGCTTTGCAGAGCCACTCAGGATTTCTTAGCTACTTCAGGTAGAGCTGCAACCAGTGGCTTTACACAATATAAAATAAATCGTTTTACAATTCTACAATGGCGTAATCAGGGATGTCTGGCATGTGGTTATAAAGTAGTGAGTGGAGCTGGAGGTGACACTGGAGTCTGTCACTGCAGGAGTGGGTCAAGAGAGGCATCAAAGTGAAGCAGGGTAAATGTCAGCATCCAGCAATGTGTGTGGCCTGGAAAACCACACTCAGTGAAACAAATTAAAGACAGAACAGGATATATACCTCACCAGCTTTGGAGGACTTAAAAAATGTGTGTCTAGGAATGGGGATATGGCTCCATATTAGGCATCTATTGAGCATGGGCAAGGTCCTAGGCTCCATCCCCAGTACAGGAGAGAAAAAAATCCCACAGAGCAACCAAATGCAAATATACAGAGTAGAACATTATTACCTGCCATGAAAGGAGAAATGTAAGAGCAGAGACAAATGATATGGACAAAGCAAGAGAGTTTTTTACTTGCCGACATGAATAATGGTACATGCCATGGTTAAGTTGGTCCCTTGTGGAGCAAACAAAACATAACCAAAATATAGCAGAACAATATTTGGAAGATGAAGGGCTGGGATGAGAAAAATCTGACAGCAGCATGAACTTGTTATTGCAAGTAAGTATAAAGAAGCAATGTGTGGTGCTCGGGGCACACAGGATATTGCTAATAGTTGTTATGGGTATGTGGCCATATTTCCAGAGTTTACTATAAGGATGTAAATCTATTTCACAGAAGAGAAATTGCAAGGCAGACACAAAGCCATTATCTTAGGCTCTTTTTCCATAGACATTGTCTTTTATTTCTGTTTCCCTCTGTCTTCAATGCCAACTTTCTTCTGTTTCTGTGGACACATGGCAGAAATTAGGTGCCTCATAGCTTGAGGCCCTTGTCCATTCCCAACTAAAATAGTCTTATCTACTACATAGCAATGCACATTCTTGGGGGAAAAAGTTACTTATTGACCTATTGTGGCAGGGTCAGCTGTGGTGATGGCAGGTGGACGTGATAGCTCATAGAATTTTCTTGGTAACAATGGTCCACTCTATTCTTGTAAGAATGGTTGTGCAGTGTAATAGACACATTTCAAAACATCCACAACAGACCATAGGTTCATCAAATGAACTAATGAAAGACACAACACTATGCTCAGGTTTGCCTGTCTCCAGAGCCACTTTCAAATGTTCCCATTTGAGGTGATTGTTTCTGCTTCCCAGTAAAGGAGGAGGGAGGGTCTTGTTTTAGGGTAGGATAATTTGGTTATAATTTAACAAAGGGCTATTTTATAAAGGCCCAGATGGGGGTGTGGGAAAATCACAAGAAATCCAGAAACAGTGTGAGTTTTGTTCCACATCTTGGAGAGTGGGCTCAATAGCAGAAATCGTAGGTAAAGGGGCTCCCTAAGGAGAAAGCAGGGGACTGGATACTCCATCTAGTGCTCACTGGGCCTTTGCCTTTCATGGATGGAAGCCGGTGGAAAGCAGAGATGACAGGAACAGTTTACACAGGTCAGTCTTTCATGCCTTGAGATGTCAAGAATGAGGAACCGAAGAGCCAGACAGAAGACTTGACGGTCTTTAGAGTTAGTGTTACAGAAGTTAGGTTTAATGTTAACAAATACGTGCGTTTAATTTTCATGACCGTGATTAACCATATTTCTATGTGCTAAACTATTTCAGAGGAGGGCAGGGGGCGCGCGCGAGGGGCCGGGGGGGGGGGGGCACCGGGCGCGCGCGGGGTGGGAGGG